TCCTCCTGACCCACAGCTTGTCTCCCTGTGAGAAGCCATGGCCAGTATGGCTTTCGGGATCAGAGGCTTGGAGAAAGAGCTGACATGCAAATTGAGACACAAGATAAGAAAATTAATTTTGAAATTATGGGGGGAGGCCAGGGGAAAGCTTCACTGAAGCAGCAAATTCCACAGAGTCTCCTTTCCCAGCCGCTTTTACTTACTAGAATACACAATTGCCTTTTAGGAATGCAAACAGACATATCAATGGCAATGTTTAATAAGATTATCAGGTTGTGGGGAGTTTGCTTTAGGCCACTGGTTGGCAAACTCATGAGTCAGCAGAGCCAAATATCAACAGCACAACGATTGACATTTCTTTGGAGAGCCAAATTTTTTAAACTTAAACGTCTTCTAACACCACTTCTTCAAAATAGACTCGCCCAGGCCATGGTGTTTTGTGGAAGAGCCACACTCAAGGGGCCAAAGAGCCGCATGTGGCTTGTGAGCCGCAGTTTGTGGACTGCTGCTTTAAGCCATTGAGTCAGCAGTAGGTAATAAAATGAAATTCATCCTGTGACTATCAAAGGAATCCAAACTCAGCCTTCTGGTGGACTCCTCACATTTCTATCAATTACTGTTGGTCTTGGTTTCCAGCATTTCCCCTCCTGACTTCTTCTGGAAGCACTCCTTCCTTGCTGCCCTTTGAACCTGGTTTGCCTCCTCAATGTCCCTGCACCAGCCCCTAGGGTCTCTGATCATAAAAGCTGGCTGCATGCCAGGCCGGGAGTGGCCAGGCCTGGAGTGGCCTGGCCTGGAGCAGCCGGGTCAGGAGCAGCCAGGCCCAGAGCAGCAGCAGCCAGGCCCAAAGCGGCAGCGGCCAGACCCGGAGCAGCTGGTTGTGGAGCGGCCCGGAGCAACAGCGGCCAGGCCCAGCAGCCGGCGGGAACAGCTCGCTCCTGGCCTGCCCATGCCCCAGGGCTGCCTCTCAGACATGGCTGGAAATTTTTGGGGAACTTGAGGGTCTGCTGAATCAAGTGATGAAGGCTTAGATCTGGATGTGTTGAGTTAGTATAGCGCTGGGGTGTTGATCTGTGAGTGCCTTGTGTGGGGTCTGGATGAGGTTGGTTGATCTATTTGGAAGTGTCTTTTGTGTGAAGTGTATCCTTGGGCATGTGGAGGTATTATTGATTTGAGAAAATGCTAAGTAACGGATTTACTACCTGAAAAATTTAAAGTTATGAAAGTTTAAGGTCTCTTGCCAAAAAGAGGTTTTAAAGCTAACACCTTAATTTTAATGGAGAAATCCACCCAGAACGGTGATCCAATTCCAATCAGCAGCTATCTTTAAACAATGTGTTCATTTACATTTGAATGGCTATGCCTTTTGATAGCCTAAGGGCAAGTTTACATGTAAACAAGTTTGCTTAGTTCCCAGGACAGAAAAAACAAGGTATAAAATTATTAGATTTTAAAATTTATTCTTAAAAATATAAAAGTTTATTAATTTAAAAAACACAAGGAAATTAAAAAAACCTGATGAACAATATTAACTGTTGATTATAATAGAATCAGAGATACGGGAGGAGAGTGGACTGACAATTCTCGGAGAAAAGGGGAGTGGTGGGTGCGGAAGGAGACTGAACATAAACTGTGCACCTATGGATGAGGACAATGGGGGGTGGGGAGGGGGCGGAGGGTGGGGTGGGAACATGGTGGAGGGGGGAAGAAATGAGGAACCTTTGTAATAATAAGAACAATAAAGATTGATTAAAAAAAAAGCTGGCTGCACTTGCCTCTGCCCTCACACCTGCTGCGGCTCCACGGCCCCCTGCTCACCTGGCTGTCGAGGCTGCAGGTTCAATGGAGCCCCTGCCCCACTGACGAGAATTGGACACCAGCTTTTCCTCAGGAAGTGAGTTTATTTTAAAACAAGTTCTTGGCAGGTGTATGTAAACTGACGTAAGGTGAGGGCATACTGGATTCTAATGGGCCCTGAATACAATGACTGTGTCCTTATGAGAAGAGGAGAGCCCTCGCCAGTGTGGCTCAGTGGGTAGAGTATTGGCCTGTGGACTGAGGGTCCCAGGTTCGTTTCTGGTCAAGGGCACGTACCTCAGTTGCAGGCTCCAGCCCTGGTCCAGGGTGTGCAGGAAGCAATCAATTGATGTGTCTCTCTCACATTGGTGTTTCTCTCTGTCTCTCCCTCTGCCTTCTACTCATTCTAAACACCAATGGGGAAAATATTCTCAAGTGAGGATTAAAAAAAAAAAAAAAAAGAGGAAGAAGAGAGACCCAGAGACTTAGACACAAAGAGAGAAAGTCATGTGGACGTGGAGGCAGAGATTGGAGTGATCCTGACACAGCCTCAGAACTCCAGGACCACCGAAACCGGTGTGGCTCAGTGGATAGAGCGTCGGCCTGTGGACTGAAGGGTCCCGGGTTCGATTCCGATTAAGGGCATGTACATTGATTGTGGGCACATCCCTGGTGGGAGGTGTGCAGGAGGCAGCTGGTCGATGTTTCTCTCTCACCGATGTTTCTAGCACTCAATCCCTCTCTCTTCCTCTCTGCAAAAGAAAAAAAAATCAATAAAAAATATTTTTTTAAAAAAAGAAGAAGAAGAACTCCAGGCAGGGCCCCTAGAAATGAAAGAGGCAAGGAAGACCCCCTCCCCTGGAGCCTTCAGAAGGTGCCTGGCGCTGCCAGCCCCTTATTTTGAACGTCTGCCTCCAGAACTGTGAGAGGATACATTCTTATTGGTTTTAAGCTATGGCAGTGACAGCAAACTAATACATAGTCCCTGCTCCTCTACAGCTTTACTTTCTGAGGTCAACAGGTCCCTGAAAACATTACATGGAAAATTCCAGAAGTAAATAATCAATAAGATTAAAAAAAATATTTTTATTGATTTTTAGAGAGAGAAGAAGGAAGAGGGGAAGAGAGAGAGAGAGAGAGATAGACATCTATGTGAGAGCAGAATGTCCACCAGCTGCCTCCTGTATACTCCCTACCAGGGATTGAACCCGCAACCTGGGCATGTGCCCTTGACTGGAATCAAACCTGGGACCCCTCAGTTCGCAGGCTGATACTCTATCCACTGAGCCAAACCAGCTAGGGATAAAGTGATTCATTTTTATAATCCGAAGAATATTAAGAAACGGTTGACATTCCTTGATCATATACTATGGGCCAAGTGGTTTACTTGGCATCTATGTTTATTGAGCATCGACTTGTTAGCAAGCACTCTTTGTAATCATTTGGGTTTATTTTTAATTAATACACACTTTTAGAGCAGTTTTAGGGTTACAGAAAGATTGAGCAGAAAGCTCAGAGAGTTCCCCTAGATCCCTAGATCCCTATCTCCCCCCCCCCAGTTTCCCCTATTACTAACATCTTTCATTAGTGCGATACATGTGTCACCACTGATGAGTAAATAAAGATACGTTATCATTAACTGAAGTCCACAGCTTACATTACAATTCACTGTGCTGTACATTCTGTGAATTTTGACAAATGCATTATGTCCACCATTATACTATCATACGGAATAGTGTCACTGCCTTAAAAATCCTCTGTAGCCGAAACTGGTTTGGCTCAGTGGACAGATCGTCGGCCTGCAGATTAAAAGGTCTCGGGTTCGATTCCGGTCAAGGGCATGCACCTTGGTTGCGGGCACATCCCCAGTAGGGGGTGTGCAAGAGGCAGCTGATTGATGATGCTCTCTCATCGATGTTTCTAACTCTCTATCCCTCTCTCTTCCTCTCTGTAAAAAATCAATAAAAATATATATATTTTTAAAAATTTCCCTGTGACACCTATTTTGGTCTTGCCTTCCACCTCTAAACCAGTTCTATCCATTTTGTTTGTTTTGTCTTTTTGATTTTCTATTGATGATAGTATCATCTGGTCTCAATTCTTTTTGGTTTTTTTTTTTTTTTTTTTTTTAATATTTTTTTTATTGACTTCAGAGAGGAAGGGACAGGGAGAGAGAGAGAAACATCAACGATGAGAGAGAATCATTCCCCTACCAGGGAGACTGAGCCCCAAACACGAGCATGTGCCCTTGACTGAAATCAAACCCAGGACCTTTCCAGTCCACAGTCCAACACTCTGTCCACTGAGTCAAACCAGCAAGAGCTCGATTCTTTTTCTTATTACATCGGCCCACACGTGAATATTAATATTTAATATTAGCTGTGATTGTGGGCACCCTTGCCCCTTTCTGGAATATGTTATCTGTTGTTTCAACATCCAATACAAGGCAGATGGTTTCTTTTTCTTTTCTTTTTCTTTTTTGTGCCAATATTCACACGTTTATTTTATTTATATTATTTTTTTAATATATTTTATTGATTTTTCACAGAGAGAAAGAGAGATGGATAGAGAATTAGAAACATCAATGAGAGAGAATCATCGATCAGCTGCCTCTTGCACACCCCAAGTGGGGATGTGCCCACAACCAAGGTACAATACATGCCCTCTACTGGAATCGAACCCGGGACCTTTCAGTCCACAGGCCGACGCTCTATCCACTGAGCCAAACCGGTCCCGGCTCACACGTTTATTTTATGCCACATAGGTCTGTCATCCATCTTTGCTCTTGCAGTGCCCAGAGCAAATCTATAAACAAGTGATTATGGCAATGTCCTGATAAAGCTGAACACCAAATTAGACCTCATCTATCTAATAAAAAGCCAGTGGCCAGAATGACCCGTCACCAGGAGGTGCATGGGCCTCTAGTATCCTATAAGCTATACTGACTTTTCCCATTTACAAACATAGCCACCTTAAAGTCACACAAAATTTGCCAACCCCATTTCATGAAATCTTACAACACAATTCCAGAGACCTGGATTTCTACAGAACTTGGTTCTAACTTGACATTATAAATAAGCTCAGACAATTCTTTGCTTCCAGATGTATTAGTCTCTTTGTTCTTTAGGTAATCTCTTCCAGTGAACTCCTTCTGTTTGTAGGCGATGAAATGTCTAAGAAATCCACTTCAATGTTGGCTCTGCTGGGAGCATGGTCTTTCCCGTTACTGTAACTCAGAGTTACGACTTTTGATTCTTGGTTTTTTTCCTCCAGTCTCAGAAGCAGTTCCCACTGTAGAAGTTATCTGAAGACAGTCTATACGCTTTATAGTCGTGGCCTACAACCAGGCTCTAGCTTCTGCAGGAACACTACACAGGATAGATTTTTGTTTGTTTGTTTGTTTGTTTGTTTGAGAAGATTTTACTGACACATGTCAGGAATACACAAAGATGCTTTATTAAATTTTTGATTTTTGTGTATTTTTATTCCATAACTAGAAGCCCACTGCATAAAGATTTGTGCAAGAATGGGGCTTCTTTTCCTTGACTGCTGGCACTGCCTTTCTGCTCTGACCCTTGAGCTGCCTCTTTCTGCTCCAGCCCTGCCTTCCCACACTGTCCAAAGGCCCTGAGCTGCTAGAGTGGTGTAGAACTGTGTATCCAAATTAGCTCACCACCTTTGTTGGGTTAATTTGCATACTCACTCCTGATTGGCTGGTACGCATAGAGAAGGTATGGTTAATTTGCATCTTTCTCTTTTATTAGTGTAGATTATAATTGGGCAATTACAAGAAACCATCAATAAAAATACAAAGAAATAAAGATGAATGGAGCAAAGCTTTACAGGATAGATTTTTAAATGTATTAAACTAAGAAGCATTCCCTCAAATGAATTTAAATGCATTTTATTTTTAGACAACCTACATGACATGTTTCTTTCTTAAAAACAATGCCTCCGCTCCAAATGAATCAAGCTCAAAATAAACGAAGAGCTCAAGATGACATCAGTCCCATCGGTCCTAGGCTTGCTGTGGATGAAAAGCAGCAGCCAGTGACAGGTGATAGAGCCACACTGCTCAATTTGTTAACATTTTTTCCACTTCTAAGCCATCCTTAAAGAAAATCACATATGGGGTCACACCATCCTCAGGGTCGTCCAGCAGAGCAACCGTGCCGTCTGGATTCACGTGTTCACCAATAAAGAACTGGTAGTTTTTGAAATTGGCAAGGATGTGCTTGATTTGTTCTGCAGCCCCTGTCATAAAAGACTTTACTCTTTCTGGTCTCTGTTCTTCGAGCTTCCCTTTGATTGATTTCATGTAATCTTTGATGTGCTTCGTGTAGGCTTCTTTTGTGAAGCTGGTTTCCTGCAAGTGATGGTTCATGACAATGTCAACACCAGTGATTACTGTGCTTTCGGTCCCTTCGCTCTCAGGGCCTTCAGAGGAGGCATTTCCACCAAGAAGCGAGTCATCAATGTTACCCTCCGTCCTACTGACCATCTTCCCCTCTACCTCCAGGCACAGCCTGTCTGCCATCTCCCGGATCTTGTAGATGTCGGAGAACATCTCACCATGGCTGATGAGGTCCGGGTAGATGATCACGAAGGCGGCTGGGAGGAGGGGGCGGCGCTGCCTTGAGCAGGAGCACCGAGCGGAGCGCGGTGCAGCCGGAACGGTGCTGGGGGGGGGGGGGGGGGGGAGCGGGCGGAAAAGCAGACGGTTTCTTTTTAATCCCAATCTTTGATCAGACTAATTTCTTCCTATCCCCGTTTTACTAAGAACTTAAAAATCAGGAATGGTTGCTGAATGCTGTTTGATGTTTTCTAGCACAGTGAGATAATCATTAGGCGTTTTTCTCCTTTCATGTCTTCATGTCTTCAATATATATATTATTGATTTTTTACAGAGAGAAAGGTAGGGGGAGAGAGAGTTAGAAACACTGATGAGAGAGAAACATCAATCAGCTGCCTCCTACACACCTCCCACTGGGGATGTGCCCGCAACCAAGGTACATGCCCTTGACCGGAATCCAACCGGGGACCCTTCAGTCCGCAGGCCGCAGGCCGAAGCTCTACCCACTGAGCCAAACTGGTTAGGGTAGAGGAGGCTTTCTGATGTTAAACGTTCCCGGCCTCCTGGGAATAAAACCCTGCGGGCCTCTGGTATGCTGTCCTTTAAAGCGGAGCTGAGCTCACGTTGCATGCGCCCAGGCTCCTGGCCCTTCCTTGGCAGGTCCTCACCCCGCAGCTGAGCTGACTCCGCAGGGCATGGGGGAGGGTCTGTCAGAACTTCCGCCTGAGCTCAGCCTGGTGACTTCAACTCAGCAGCTGGCAGACCCCCTCCCAGACGGCTCCTCCTCCAGGAGACGCTGGCCAACCCTGGGCTCTGCACAGCCTCCTTACCTTCTTTGTTGTTAACCCTCACTGGAGGATATTTTTTCCGTTTATTTTTGTTGTTGTTGTTAATCCTCACCCAATTTTTCCATTGAATTTTCGAGAGTGTCTAAGGGAGAGGGAGAGAGGAAGAGAGAAACACCAACGTGGACAATAAGAGTATCCACTCGTGAGGTTTGATGCCAGATCTGCCTCCAGGAAGAGTGAACCGATTTATACTTGTAACTTTAATATATTCCCATTTCATACACTCTTTCTCTAAGCCCACACTAATCATCTTTTTTTAAAATATATATTTTATTGATTTTTTTTACAGAGAGTAAGAGAGAGGGATAGAGTTAGAAACATCCATGAGAGAGAAACATGGATCAGCTGCCTCTTGCATACCCCCTACCGGGGATGTGCCCGCAAACAAGGTACATGCCCTTGCCTGGAATCGAACCTGGGACCTTTCAGTTTGCAGGCTGGCCCTCTATCCACTGAGCTAAACCGGTTTCGGCACTAATCATCTTTTTAATCTTTAATAAATTAATGAGTGGGGGGGGGGAAAGAGTAAATCATAGAAATGTTTCCTGGTTAGTAATTATAAATCTTATTTATCTTTAAAATTTTAAAATGTGGCTTTTCTTGTTACTTTTTAATCACACAATATGAAGTTTGAAGAGCCAGATTGTTCTGGAAGGCTTGTTACGAAAGTCTGCAGCCCCCCACAGTTCCCAGGAATTATGAAATCAAGAAAAACATCAACACGGCCTGGTGTGCTCAGCTAGCTGGAGTATTGCCCTGAACACCAAAATGCCCTGGTTTGATCAGAGCAGTACTCAGGCTGTGGTTTGATCTCCCCTCAGGGTACATGGGGGAGGGGGCGTGAACGATTGATGTCCCCCCCCCCCCTTCCTCTCTCTCTAAAACCAATGGAAACATATCCTCGGGTGAGGATTTTAAAAAAATCAACACAATCATAGGAGAGATATGTATACTGTTGTGGAGTCGTGGACTCAAAGGTGTTAGGAATGAGTGGGGAGGTGTGAATGCAGCCTAACACCTGGACAAGCCTCCCTCTTGTCCACTCCGAGCACCTAGGTCCTGTTCATTCAGACTGAATCAGCCTCTCTGCTCTCCTTTCAGTGTTCTGGCCTCTACCAGCCTCCCCCCCCCCCTCACACACCCTGCATAGCTCCCTATTGCTCCCAGAACAAAATTAATCTGGCAGCGTGAAGCCAGCGCTGAAACCCTGCTCCATCCCCAGATCCAGTGAGTGGGAGGAGGAGGAGCCGGACTCAGAGCCCGGTGGATCAGGCTTTGCATTCCGGCCTTGTTGTTCACTAGCGAAATCTGAGCAGCTCCGTCACTTTTATTTTTTTAAATCCTCACCCGAGGATATGTTCCCATTGATTTTTAGAGAGAGTGGAAGAGAGAGGGAAAGACAGAGAGAAATATTGATGTGAGAGAAACACAACCGAGATACGTGCCCCAGACCGGAATCGAACCTGGGATCCTTCAGTTCAGAGGCCTATGCTCTACCCACTGAGCCAAACTGGCGAGGGCAGCTTCCTCACTTAAAAAAAAAATTATATATATATATATATATATATATATTGATTTTTTATTGATTTTTTTTTTTTTTTACAGAGAGGAAGGGAGAAGGATAGAGAATCAGAAACATCAATCAGCTGCCCCATGCACACCCCCTACTGGGGATGTGCCTGCAACCAAGGTACATGCCCTTGACCGGAATCGAACCTGGGACCTTTCAGTCCTAAGGCTGATGCTCGGTCCACTAAGCCAAACCGGTTTCGGTAGCTCCCTCACTTTTACATTAGTCCCTGTCCATGAAAATAGGTATGTGGCTCTGGCTGGGGTGCTCAGTGGTTAGAGCATTGGCCTGTACACCAAAGGGTCACAGGTTCAATTATCAATCAAGGACATGTTCCTGGGTTGCAGGTTCAATCCCTGGTCCTGGTCAGGGTGCGTGCTGGAGATGTGTCTCTCTCACATCGCTGTTTTTCCCTCTCTCTCTCCTCTTCCCCCCCTTCTACCCTCTGAAAATCAATGGGAGAAAATCTCCTTGGGTGAGGATTAACAAACAAACAAAGGCAAGGTGTGTGTTCTGGGTGGTGTGAAAGCACTGCCTCTGATGGAAGGCATACCAGGTGACAGCGGCTCTGAGGGCCCTGGCGCCGGGTGCTGGTGGAGGCCCATGTTTGATGTAGGGAAAGAGGCATCCAGATTGGCCCTTAACGGGCGAAGTGAAATCACTGAGGTGTGCGGGGCCTGCAGGGAGCCCACAGATTGCGTCAATTGGGGAGAAGGGTCAACCCTAGAAAGCAAACAGCAGTTCTGTGTCCTCAAGGGGCCTGGTCACACATTACCATCTGATCCCAGCCCCGCCACCGGGCCACCCACCGCCGTCTGCACCAAGGCGAGGGTGTTTGCTGAATTCCGTCCTTACTCAAACATTTGTTCTCAAGACGAGCTAAATCCTGAGGCCCCAGGCCCTGTAGTCCAGGTCAGAGCGCACAGCGGGGGCAGAGGAGGGGAGGGGCACGCACAGGGCTGCACACAGCTGTAATGGAGGGCTTCCCTCCCAGCCTGGGGCTTGGGGCCAGGAGCCCAGCAGCGGGAGAGCATGCACTGCTCAGAGCGTGAGCCATGGGCTCAGGCTCTCCGGCCTTCAGAGGGAGAATTGACGCACGGATGCATGCTAGAGCGTGAATGAACCCTGGTACTTGCCCTGGACTGGAATTGAACTGGAGACCTTTCAGTCTGAAGGCCAACACTCTATGCTAGGGGTGTCGAACTCAATCAGAGAAGGGGCCAAAATCTAAAATCCAGCCTAAATCACGGGCCGAATGGTTTACTGAACAGTCATAAACTGTCATTGTGATGGGAACGCAGCGGAGTGCAGTGATGACAGCGCGGTGCGGGCCACATTGCAAGGCCTGGCGGGACGGATTTGGCCCGCGGGCCTCGTGTTTGACACATGTGCTCTATGCACTGAGCCAAACTGGTTTTGGCCTCTAGCTTTTTAAATAATCAAACCAAATCAATAAAAACATATTTAAGAACCCTAACCCTAGCCCTAACCCTAACCCTAACCCTAGCCCTAACACTAACCCTAATAAAATAAAAATAAATAAATAAATAAATAAATAAAAACATATTTAAAAAATAAAAAGATATATATTTTTTAAATTAGACACAGAACTGCCATGTGTTCCAGCAATACATTGCTGGGCTTGTACCCAAAATAATTTAAAGCAAATATTGAAAAGATTTCTGCACACCTATCTTCATAATGGCATTATTCAGAATAGCCAAGAGGGGAAAGCCACCCAAGAATCTACTGACAGATGAATGGATAAACAAATGTGTATATTCATATAGAGGGATATTATTCAGCCTTAAAAAGGAAAGATATCCTGACACCTTGATGGAACTTGAGAACTTTATGCTAAGTATAATGTGCCAGTCATGAAAGAGCAAATACTGTATGATTCCACTTACACGAGCTCTCCAGAGAGGTCAGATGCATCAGGACAGAAAGTAGAATTGTGAGCCAAAACCGGTTTGGCTCAGTGGATAGAGCATCGGTTTGCGGACTGAAAGGTCCCGGGTTCGATTCCGGTCAAGGGCATGTACCTTGGTTGCGGGCATATCCCCAGTAGGGGGTATGCAAGAGGCAGCTGATTGATGATTCTCTCTCATCAATGTTTCTAACTCTCTATCCCTCTCTCTTCCTCTCTGTAAAAAATCAATAAAATATATTTAAAAAAGAAAGAAAGAAAGAAAGAAAGAAAGAAAGAAAGAAAGAAAGAAAGCAAGCAGAATTGTGGGTGCCAGGGGTGGGGGAGGAGGCCGGGAAGTGAGTGTTCAATGGGGACAGAACTTCAGCTTGGAAGACGGACAGGTCTGTGGATGGGTGGTTAGGATGGCTGCACAATAACGTGAAGGTACTTACTGCCAATGAGCTGTGCACTTAACATGATTCAAACGTGTGAGAACTAATAAAGGGAAACCTCATGGTAATGGAGTTGGGAGGCCAGAAGGGAGAGTCCTCAGTCCCTCAACCCATGTCAATTACAAACCCAAACAAGAAGAATTGTCAAGTAGGAACTCCACCAGGAAGAGATTCTCCTTGTAAGTGGATACTGCTTCCCTACTCCGCCGGGAGGAAGGGGAATTTCCTCACTTCGCCAACGAGGAAGGCCACCACCTTGAACTCTCACTTACCTCCAATGGACTTACATTTAAAACCACATCCCTCACCCAGCTGTGTTGCTAAATGGTTAGCGTGTCGGCCACCACACCAAAAGGTCATGGGATGGATTCCCAGAAAAGGGCACAAACCTGAGTTGTAGGTTCGATCCCTGGTCTCCGGCATCTCTTCATGTGCATTTCTTACTAAAGAGATCGATTTAACCCAAAGTAATTTAGAGAACCAATGACCATTCTGGATAACTTTCAATCTCCCCAAACTTACTTTCCTCAAAACTAAATTGGCCAAAATCGGTTTGGCTCAGTGGATAGTGTCGGCCTGTGGACTCAAGGGTCCCAGGTTTGATTTTGGTCAAGGGCATGTACCTTGGTTGCGGGCACATCCCCAGTAGGGGGTGTGCAGGAGGCAGCTGATCAGTGTTTCTCTCTCATCGATGTTTGTAACTATCCCTCTCCCTTCCTCTCTGTAAAAAATCAATAAAATATAATTTTTTTAAAAAGAAAGAAAGAAAACATCAATCAGCTGCCCCTTGCACCCCCCCCCCCACTGGGATGTGCCCTCAACCAAGGCACATGCCCTTGATTAGAATCGAACCTGGGACCCTTCAGTCCGCAGGCCGATGCTCTATCCACTGAGCCAAACCAATTTTGGCTCATGAAAATTCTTGAGTAACCTTGTAACTATGGTTTTGAATTCTGTATCCAGTAGTTTCCTTTCTTCCATTTCTTTCATTTGTTTCATTTTTTGGGGTGGGGGTGGGGTCTCTGCATTTTGGCTACTTCCCTGTGTTTCTATGTATTGGGTAGAGCCACTATGTCTCCTGGAGTTGGTAGAGTTGCTTTGTGTAGTAGGTGTCTTTTAGGGCCTTGTGGCTTAGTCTCTCCAGTCACCTGAGCTAGGCACTCTAGGTGCACCCCTTTTGCAGGCTGTGTGCACAGCCTTGTTGTAGTTGAGACTTCATTGCTGCTGGAGTCACTAGGAGGAATTGACCTCCAGGCCAATTGGCTGTGAGCACCAGCTGTGACTACGGTGGGAGAGCTGCTGTGCAGGAGACACCCTTATGGAGCAGGACTTGCTTCAGTGGGGCTTTGGTGCTCACTGAGTGCCCACTGAGTGTGTCACTAATAAAGGGAAACCTCATTACGATGTGTTGAGTTGTGATCTGGCATGATTTGATGCTGTCCACCAGGGTACACTGGCTCTTGGGTCTCCAGGAAGGTGCAAAGTCAGCCCCTGTCTGGGCCACCTGGCACCTCCTTCTCTTTTGGCTTCAGTTGTTAGATATTGGCTCTACTGTAGGGTTTCAGACTTTGGACAGGCTCTGGTGGCCAACTGCACTATACCAACTTTCAGAAATAAACTCTTTATTAGTCTATGTAATGGGCCCTATATTAGCTATATCCTGTAGCATAAGAAATGACCCCTAAAACTTAGCAGTTAAAAACAAACAAACGAACAAAAAAACCATTTGTCTCATGGTTTCCGTGTGTCAGGAATCTGGGAATGGCTGAGCTGGTTACACATGGCTTAATGTGATTGATGAGACCACAGCTGAGGTTTTGCCTGGGGCTGTGGTCAGCTCAAGGCTTGACTGGGATTAAAGTATCCAGTTCGATATTCACTCCCTCCACGGGGATGCCTCACGACACACCCGCTGGCTTCCATCAGCCTGAGTGATCCCAGAAAGACAGCGATCTAAGACAATAGCCACTGTCCTCTTTGTTCTTCTAAGCTTAAATACATTTCTTATGTAACAATCCATCTAGAACTGGGCAGCTGCAGGCGTCCTTTCACCTGCTCTGTAATGCCATATTTTTTTCTTCTTTTTGATTCCACCATTTGCATTTTTTCTTTAGCCCCAGACTCGTTGTCTTCTGATTGAAAAAGTGGTTGCAACCTCCAGGTGTCACAGCAGAAAGAGGGGGACGCCAGCGGCATCTCCCCCTCATCAAGATGGAGAGAGCTTTCCTGGACATCCCACAGCCTCTGCACACATAGCCACCCCCACGCAAAGGAAGCCAGGAAGCTGGGAGGTAGGAAACCATCGTCTTCTAAACCTAATCTTGGGAGTGCTGCCTCATCACTTCTGTTGTGTGACATTCACTGAAAGCAAAGGAACAGCCGAGGCCGGTTTGGCTCAGTGGATAGAGCGTAGGTTTGCAGACTGAAGGGTCCCGGGTTCAATTCCGGTCAAGGGCATGTACCTTGGTTGCGGGCACATCCCTGGTAGGGGGTGTGCAAGAGGCAGCTGATCGATGTTTCTCTCTCATTGACGTTTCTAGCTCTCTATCTCTCTCCCTTCCTTCTCTCTGTAAAATATCAATAAAATATATTTATTTAAAAAAAAAAAGCAAATGAACAAGTCTAGCCCAAGTTCAAGAGGCGGGGATTGACACAAAGATGTGAATACTTGGAAGTGGGGTATCACTGGGGACCCTCTTTTTAAAAAATATATTTTATTGATTTTTCACAGAGAGGAAGAGAGAGGGATAGAGAATTAGAAACATCGATGAGAGAGAAACATCAATCAGCTGCCTCCTGCACTCCCCCTAACTGGGGATGTGCCCGCAACCAAGGCACATGCCCTTGACCGGAATCAAACCTGGGACCTTTCAGTCTGCAGGCTGATGCTCTGTCCACTGAGCCAAACTGGTTTCAGCACTGGGGACCCTCTTGAAGGCTTCCCTTCACAGGTCCCAAAGCCAAGATCCTGGATAACTAAATCCAGGCAAGGAAAACATGCCCCCAGTCCTGCTGGCGGTTTGTACTGGAAGTCCAGGT